TAGATAGATAGATAGATAGATAGATAGATAGATAGATAGATAGATAGATAGATAGATAGAATCTGTTTCTTCCCCAGGCAGCCTTTGTATGGCCGCAGCCGCTTCCTGAAAGTTGACTGTCCATTCAATAAATGAAAAAAAGGAAGTAAAAAGATATTTAGACATTTTTCATAGACCAAAAGAACGATACTTTGGCGAACCAGTGTAATTCCAATGCTACCGGGCAACTGAAGCATGTTGCGTAAGTCGGAATAGGATAGGAAGCTGAAAACGCAAATTATCGGTGCATTTAAACTGAGGTGGGGTGCAGGAGGGAATTCTGACATAGCTGTTCAAATATGGACCGCATAATTGATGGTAATTATTTGCAGACTGAATTTTTAACTGGAAATTCTGGTGTTTACTTTTTTGGATGCAGGTCATGTGGGATGTGCGTCCATGTTTATATTTAATTTTTATTAGATGGGAGACTACGTTTTGCGTGATCGTTTTCCCCATGGAAGTTGGCTTTATGTGGGACACACCAGTCAATCTTTATCTCTCCCACTATCTGCCGATCTACCGTATTTACATTGCACTTTAACCTATTTGTGGGCCGTTTCAATCATGTAAACAAACAAATTTAGTTCATTTTCGCTAGAAAATCCCCAACGTGCATCTACCTCGTGATTGACGTTGAAAAATTATCAGCGTTCCTACGTTGACTGTATCCGATCGGTTAGCTATAGTTGAGCCACAGAGCAACGCGTAATCCAGTTTTCTAGAAATAATTCGATCCAAAATGTTTTTCGCTATCTTTTGTAACTTATTACAAATCGCTTAAAAAAATCGTACCTCTGATAGTGGGCCTTGATCACTATCCAGCCTACATGTAATCAAAAGTTTCCGAGTAATGTCTGCGGTAATAGATATAAAGTGCAAAAAATAATAGAAATCCCTGTCAGATAATTCTAAGCAGAACCCGGGCTTTCGCACACGTTAACAAGCCAAGCTAACGAACTCCCTCGTGTAGCACCCAAAACAAATTCCACCTGCCGGTGGTAACCATTAGTCCAACGGTGAGTGATGAACCGAAACCAGAGCCGTAATAAATCAGATAAGGACTGTTTGTCCGTTTCATTGTCATATTAAGCACTTCGAAGATCTCTTGCAATAAAGATGTTTTACGGTAGAAACGCAAAATATATAGTTCAGGTCGGAGAACACACCGACAACATAAATATCTATAACGGCAAGAACTAACTCAGTACAGGCACCGATATATCAATAATAAATTGAAGGGATACGGAACTGTGAGGAGTTTCCAATTTGATTTACTGTTTCATTTGCATCACCCCATTTCGCACCCTGTGAGGTTTACCTGTGTGTGAAAGACGAGTCATTTCTGTCCATTGTTGACTTAGAAGAAGGCTGACAATTTATTTGCTACTGCAGTTCTTCTCCGTCAGTTGTCAGTGATTTGCATGTAGACTGGATTGCAATCTGCTTACTTCTTGGTTAGGTTTCTTTCAAACTAGCTCATTAAAGATGTTTCCCTAGTTGATTTAAGTAGAATCGTACGATGTATTGACCACTGCAATCATGTTACTTTTGGCTTCATATTAGTCGTGCTTGGTTTCACTAAAATTTGTACCCCTGGATTTAAATCTGATAGCAACACATCTACCTATCCCTCTCGTGCAAAACAGATACAGACTCATCACCAACTGGACAATGCCCATTTCTTGGCGATACAAATGTAACAACAGGGAGTTGCTTTTCCTCTCCACATCACGGGAAACTTACCACTACCGAGACAGAAACACTGCCATATTTCACACGTATTTCCGGACAACAAAGTGCTGTTGGTGCACGAAGTAGCAGTCTGAGCAGTGGACGAGGCAGCAGTGAAGGTGTAGGAAGTCGTAGCGGTAGTGGTAGTGGTGGCGCGGTTAGTCGCAGTAGCAGTAGTGGTCATGGTGCCGGTGTAGGTCCTCTTGCGGCTCCGAGCATCGCGACAAACGAACGTAGCTCTGCTCCTGGTCCAAATGCCACAATCCCGTCTGTTAGTCACAGTAGTTCCGGGAGTAATTGTAGCACAGGAAGCCTGACAGCGATCGGCCCCGGAATGGAGTTGACTTCAGCCGTGAACCATCGAAGCATTCCTACCAGTCTGCCCACGAGTATGTGCTCAAATCATCAATTTTGCGCCTCTATGACCAACTCCTCTCGGACCGTACCAACTGGACCGGGGGGACATTCGTTGACGAATGCTGACTTCGCCGTTCTCCCAAACTATTCGACTTCGCACATGACACCACAGCCTCCACTCCCTCCCCTGGCCCATGTGCCGAGTACAGCGCATGGTGTTCAGCCATCATACGCATCACCAGCGGCGGTTGATGGAGTAAGTCAAACTGACAGAGATCTTGTAGATTTCAAAAGTGATTTTTTGTATTCACAGTTTTGATAAAACAGCGGTATTTAAAAAATATACTGGTTTAGTGACTGAAAACGGTTGATGTACGAATTCAGCTTCTGATGTTTTTTTTTGTTATGTTGTTGAGCATAACTTCAGATACCACATGCATTGAACAACCAGCTCATCGTGGCCCAAGTACTTTTCTTTTGCTTCACAATGCCATCGTATTACCCGACCACCTTTTCACAACTGTTCGGCTTTTTCTCATTCATGTGAGCCTTGCACAACTGCTTGGCTGAAAAACTAAAACTGAAACCAAACCCCTCTTGTCAGTACATCACCTCCCCCCTCCCCACGTTCCATACCGCCTTCTCTATCAATTCGTCTAGGAACACGGTTTAAGTTAATTCCCCCTCTCTACTGTTTTTTACTTACCGATTGATTGATCGTTTGATTGTAAAATTCTTTAATTTGCGTCTACTCCATAGCTTAGAAGTGAAATGCGCAATTGGGCTTTTGATTCTGACACGCGGTTCGAAGTGCAGAAATATTCACAATTTTACTTTCGGGTTTTTCCAGTACTTTTTCTGACATTCTCTTAGACTTCATTTTTAAAGCTCTATTGTAGCTTTTCAAAACGTTGGATACGAACAGCTGAATAATTTGCCCATTAATTAGATCATGTATATTGATAATGAGGTACTTTGATCATACGTTTTCTGTTATCCTTTTTTGGCGCACTGAATTTTAAGAGAATTTCCATTATCATCAGCTCGGCGTTTTCTTTCCAATTAACCTTTCATTTTGGCGAATAATTTTTCACTCGAATGGGTGTGGAACGTAGTGATGTTGCAAGTATCACCATTCTTAGGCATGCTAGATCACCTGCTTAAAATACCATTCCTGATCAGCGCCATGTTCTCCGTTAGTGCAAAATCTTAGGTAAACGTGACCCACATTAGTCTCCTACTGTTGTCGTCAGTTTGCTATTTGTCTACTAGCAATGCAAACAAAGGAGCACCCGGTTTCATCCAACTTCTTTCCCACCAGAAATCGGATCCAAGATTGACCACCTCCGTGGCCAATAAAGATTATCACACTCGGATGAATACAGTTGTTCCACACGGTCTAAATGACTCTCCGTACGTACAACGCGCAGGTTACCCGAAAGGGCAAGCTGCACCTAGGGCTCAATGGCAATCCACCCTAGCTGGGCCGCCTCCATTGTCTCCTGGCTTGCCAAGACGATTTGCTGACGGCATTTTACCACCAGAAACGGCTGCTCACATCCAGTATTCGTCCGGTCAATCTTCACCATCACCGGCAGGTTCTGTGACCCCGGTACCCACACCACGTCGCGAATCGCTGTCCACTAACACAGTTCCGGCCCGAGCTGGACCTAACTACACCGTTCCAGGTGTATCAACCATGGCCTCTGAGGCGATTCGGGGTGGACCAGTCAATTACAATTTGGCACCTCCGCCCATAGCGACACGACCCGAGAAAACCAAATCAATCGTAAGTCGAGTGATCGGGTTTTTCCGCGGGTGGGGGTTGCTTACCGGTTCAGCTAGATTTCTTTTCTCTCTGACCCGAAACTAGTTTCGCCTATCCTTTTTCACATATTTTTTCAATCTTGCCTTCTATAACGCTATGAAATTGATCCATGCAAACATGTCGCTGTGGTCAAATACCATTACTGTGACAAGATGATTTTAATTGACAGATAGGCTGTCAAGTTCTTAGTTAGTCTGTCATGTATTGGGGTTATTACTATATAACAGTAAGTCAAACACTATCAGTTTAGTTTTCCTGCAGACTCCCTCTTAAAATTGTTTTGGACTGGTGTACATGGTGATAGCCTATTGTGAAACAACTTTCACGATCAGCTTACAACTCGAACAAAAATGCGAGAGCGAGAGAGCGGTAGTACAACCAATTGACAGCTCGGAGATGGTTTCCTTTATCGTAAGTAGACGAGTTTATGGTATATTGTAAAAAATCTAATGCGTGTACTACTTTCCGTTGTAAATTCTTCTATACTCTAATTCTTTGTCACATTCCTTGTAAATCCTTTGCTCGTCGATTCACCTGTGGTAACTTTTTTATCGTTTAAGGGCCAATGACCATTATTTAAGATCTATTGCCAGTAGTAGAACTATGCACGCCAGTTTACGGGACCAGTTCTATGAAATCATTCACACTAGAATTAATAGAATAAGCCAATGCATAGTTGAACACTGGGTTTTAGTAACACCGTTATCCGACAGCATACTCTTGTTTGATGAACAAAACGGGGTTATCCCCATAGTCACGAGAACCTACTGTTCATTCATGGAAACCGGCAATCTAAGACCTCGAGATTTAGCGTGTCGAACCACGTAAGGCCTCGCTGAATTAGGCTTGGTATTGAGTTAGACGAAATATGGGGGAAAGTGCGATTCACGATCATCGCAGGCTGGTTTCAGACCTGGTCGAGGTTGTATCGACCACATCTTCACTCTTCGTCAAATTTTAGAACACAGACACTCCATTCATAGACCCACCATTTCTATCTTCCTCGATCTGAAAGCGGCTTTTGACTCAGTAGACCGCTCGAAACTCTGGCGCTGCCTCGCTCTGAGGGATGTGCCCGAGAAGTTTATTTCAATATTATAATCACTTTATACTAATAGCCGAAGCCGAGTCCGAGCTCACGGCACGTTTTCACCCGAGTTCATCACGGAAAGTGGTGTTGGACAGGGTTGTCCTCTCTCTCCTTTTCTATTTAACTTCGTGATAGATTTAGTTCCTCGTACGAGGATAGCGATATCGGTTTACTCCTCGGTGGCAGACTGATCTAGAGTATGCAGACGACATTGTGCTATTAAGTGAAAAATGAGGACTGTTCAAAGTGCTTAATCTGGTCGATTCATTTGCTAATCGGTTGTATGTGCTGATCACATTAATTTTTTTCAAACAAACCACTCATCGGGAAGATTTTTCTCTTTTCAATGAATAGATAACTACACAATCGATTTCGAGGAATCAAAGTCTGGTTTGGAGAAGTTTTGTAAGTAATCGGGCAATCGTGTAATCAAACGTAAGAGTGATTACATGGTTCATGTATTCAAGATAACAATGTTCAACAGAACGAAGGAACAGTTAGTCTCGCACACTCATACAACGGGTGTTTATGTATTGAATATACAAGTGTACAGTCGACTTTCAGAAAGGGGGTTGCGGCCATACAAAGGCTGTCTGGGAAAATACAGAAACGGGGAAGATGGACTAACACAGTTTACCGGTCTTCATTGGTCCATTGGAACTTAAGTTCTACTCATGATGAATTCATATATTTTATTTCATGCAGCACTCCAAAATACATACATACACACCTATACACAGTCAACTGCGACGCGATTCTGGGCGTGGGTTTTTCCCCTCAGGGGACCACCGTGTGGATGGCACAATCACTTATGGTGGGAAAAAGTTCCGAATAAAATCTGTTCTTTCCTGTACCGCACACGTCTCTTCAAGGTCACCCTGAGCAATTTTTCGTGGGAATACCTTTTTCTCGGGAATCCTTGTATTTTCTCCCCCCAGGTATACAAGTCGCACGCGTGTACAAAGTTACCGGATTTTCGATGCGAGTGGAAATCGATCTGTTCGAAATCAAGTCTGTCCGGAGGAGTGTGACATGACACTCATCGGGCGTTCAAATCTTAAATCTGATAAGTTTGTGGCATGAGTTTAATTCCCAGTCGAAACTGTTGAGCTGTCATCCAAAGTCCTTCCGATGATACAACAGTTCATTGATCCAGAAGCGTTGTGAATTGGTTCACCCCTTTACATCGAGGGCGAACGAGATTTTGAATTGGACTGAACCAAAACTGCCCGATCAACCCCAATGTATGTGTGGACGAAATGTAATCACTGCCCTAGAAGTTGGTTGCACGAGTGACGTCCCGATCGATGCGTTAGCAAAAGTGCATGGTTGTGGTGACCTCAAAATTGACCCGGATACAGCGTTGTTTAACTTGCAACATTGCAACGTTTATCGGATTTTCTTGAATTGACTTGATTTGATGGATTGTGGCAACAGTCAGCGACAGTGATTGACTGATAACATGTTTCCGGTGTAATTAGGTTTGAGAAGTAGCGGTCATTGTGCTCCAGAGACTGACGTGCTGGTTTATGGCACTGTTATGTCGTACCGTCTATACCATTGCGAGATCCATAACGATTCCGTATCATACAGAATGGCGGAAAGTGAATAATGCAATACAGCACACATCGGAACGATTTCAAACCAGAAGAGGTGTACGAGCGACACACGTACACCCTCCCCGTTGTGACAATGGTCATCTACTCGATTGAGCATCAAGGTGTACCAAAGGGCGTCTGATTCGATGTTCCAGACATCGGTTCCCAAATGGAGTTCGCTTCTCGCATACCGACCCCGTTGCTTGAAGGGTCATGCTTTGACTAGACAAAGGCTCCGGTTGTGAATTCTCTAAGAAAATTCACATGCCCTGCCCTAGACAACCTAGAAGTATCGCGCTCACGAGCACATCATGGAACATTTTTCTTTTATAAAGAAATTTTTACTGTGATCTGTTTGGCACAGAGTCCGTATGAGGGTCCATGTGAAACACTTGTCAGTTCATTTATACTGGAGTAAACTTTTTTCCAAATAATAATAAGCAAGCCATGTACACTAATAGTCGATTGGTCTGCCCTTGTTCTTTAGGACTTTTTCGAGTCTCTTTGGCATCGAATTCACCAACTTTGTTATGAAGTCATTTTCTATTTTGTGCTCCATTACGTATCGCACTTTTGCCTCCCATGTCCAATGTAGCACGTTTACCTCTCTCTTCAAAACAGAAAACAGATTTTCAATCACGTTGAGATCCGGGGAAATTGCATGAACCGAACCTTAGAGTCGCGCATGTTTTCTGAAGTCTAAAAGCAAATAACGAGTGAACCAGGCTGCTTAAATAAATAAATTTACTAACTTCTCGTGGTGGAATATGCTCTTTTGGGAAATTCTCACCACAAATGACTTTTGTAAGCCTTCCAAAGCTCGTCGTACACCATGCACTCGTCGGCGAAATAAACCGATCGCCAAAGTGACGCACGTCAAGATTTGAATTCTCGGTCAAAATCAATACGCGCCTGCCTCTGCTGCGCGTTCAATGCTGGCTTGACGTCAGCTAAAACCTGACACATTCTGAATTTTTTCATTCTTCTTTGCAGAAGGGAGTATGAATGTCGGGGAAGATCTTCCCGTTGGATAGACGATAACGATTTTCTGCAATGTTTTTTCAGAGTAATACGAATCAGGTCGTCCTCCTGTTTGTATGTACTCGATTAACAATCCCCACAAGCTGTTCTGTTTGTTGTTTTCCCGTGGATTATCCTGTTAATTGTGCTTTTGTTAACGTTAAAGCAGTGGGCACGATTTGATATCGAAAATCCCAATTTGTATGCTCGTGCAATTCTGTTTCTGTCCTCTTCACTGGGATAACAGGAACTTTTGGTTTCAAGCGCTGCTTGCTTTATAATAGTGACAAAAATACGAACATTCAAAGCTGTGCACAAAAATGACCTTGATTTCAAGGTTGACTTTGATTGAAGTGGTATTTTTAGAATTCAGTGAGTTAGCTATTAAGCAGATTATTATTATGAGACCTTATTTAACGCAATTTCTCCGGATTGTGAACGGATTTCATTTAGTTATCCAATAGAGCTGATATAATGGATTATCTATTAGAAAGAATAATGCCTCATAACAAATAACCCAGATGGCAAGGATTTATGGAAATATTTTAGGATAATTCTTCAGTTATTCCCATTGAAAAATATTGCATTGTCATACTTGATAGAGTTTGTGGTTTTCATGTTGAGATCATTTAATCTAGGCACCCAAGGTCAGGCACGTTTAATTGATAATCATACAGTCTAGAAACTACGTAGATCGTAGTAGACAAGATACGAAACGCATTAATACAGGTAGTAAATATAATGAAATTCCATTTGATCATAAAGAAAGCATTTTAGTGCATCACAATCTACCAGTACTATATATATATATATATATATATATATATATATATATATATATATG